ACCGCTGCATTTCACTTGATGTGTTTATTTTATATTAATACCTAGAGTAGTGGTTCGTTTGATAGACACACGAGCAAGTGCCCATTAGTTGCGCCTAGTTTTTCAACCATATTTTCACGACCTATTCGAAACGCTAATTAGGATGCGCTACTTGATTCAAAGAGGAGACGGTAAAAACTGCCTTAACCATAACAGCACCGAAACCCGTCCAATTGTAGTAAACAAACCCGGTGACCAATTTCGTTTGACTAGTAAATTCAACGGTTGTAAATACGGGAACAATTACTGTGACGTTTTCATTTTAAAACGCTTTCTAATAGTTTGCACCGATAGTTTTATTGTACAGAAATTTTATCATTAGATCCGTAGTTTTCCATTTGATTGGTCCTTAAATATTTATTATATGTTTTAATCGTTGATCCCTGATAAAATCTCTTTTTTAACTATTGGCATGATGTGCCTGTTCTCGTATTGCGTTCATAGCTGATGAAGTCACATGATTTCTTACTAATCCGATACCACTCAAAGACCACATAAAATGCTTACAGAGCGACTGACACAGTAGGAATTTTCGCGTGTATGTCTAACGATGGGAAAATATTTCATGATTGATTCAATGAAGCTCTTTTCGCATAAAAGTGTTCATGTATAGCGCTAATACATTTAGATAAATATTTCATATGAATGTTCAACGAGTATGTACTAACGTAAATGGCTGCCGGGTGTTACTAAGGTTCCCCTCGTCATCGACACCATCGTTCCCCTACAATACAACGCCATACATCTGTCCCAGAGCGAAGGCGCAGGACTGGCACCGAGACGAATCTGGGCTTTTGGGACATTGTACTGGTGCCCCGCGTGCACACGGCAATATGCGATTTTCCCGTAACGGCCTCGGCATAGAAACGGTGTGGGATAGTCAGCGCAAGTGTGACAGAGAGGAAGGAATCAGACAAAAAGTGGCGGAAAAAGCGTTTTTGTTAGACTCGGGTATTTATCGCCGACAACCCTATAATACAAAAGTGACTTTTTATAGTTCTAGTCAGCTGCTGATCGATGTTTGTTGGTTATTGTATCTAATTTAACTGCAATAGTAGTTATCGATCGGAGTAAGTAGAAATCGGAATGCGCGAACCGACAAAACGAGCGCTTAAAAAATGATCGTTTATTGAGCCAAACCACGTTTTTTTTTTTGGAAATGTTTACAACGATTTTTTAAATTAGAAAGAGTTTATCTTTGGTGGAAAAGAAAAAGACTGTCAATATTTTATTTTCTGAAACGTTTCGCAAAAAAGTGACCAAGTTTAAAAGCACAATTTCAACACTCAAGGAAATATAAAACAATTGTGCTCATGACATTTTATTAAATGACTTTTGAGAAATTCACAATACGACAAAAAGTTTGCAAAACAATATGTATCATTAGTGTATATTATGCACTTTTTCTTGGGCGTTGCGTGTGTTATATTTATAGTTGTAATGATACGTAATTATTTTAAATAATGTTTGTTCAACGTGAATGGCCCCAACGTCGAATATTACCGGAAGCCAGTTTTCGAGCCTTGCGCACCACCCAAATAATAATAATCGGAACCAAATGGATAACGTACCGTAAAATTGAATGTATATCTCTTAACCGACGGCTGTGTATATATTTCTCTTTTTTTTTCCACGACTGTGCTGACGCAACCGCATTGGAAACCATTAAATCGATTGATGAGTTACTCGGAGGACAGAAAGACAAAGTAGGTTGGCTAAATGCCTACGCAAAGCTTACACGCAACTGTTTATATCTGTCCAATTCATTTTGACTGCGATTATCAATCATTATAAACCAGATGAGATGTTTTGCATATCTCATCTGGTACAACGTCAAGTTGCCAAATTAATATTCATACCTGGACGTGGAGTTCTAGGCCCGAGGCGCGAATATTACGACCAGGCCAGTTAAATGATCCTCCATTCACGTTTATTTATCTAAAATGTCAGTCGCATTTATCTGGCAGAAGGAAAACCAGTCTAGCGTTAGCTTATTTGTTTTTATTTAAGTACACTGTACGTATTTAAATGTTTATTTGTCTTCACAAGTACACCCTGTGGCTGTGTGGTTTTTGAACGGTCTGTAAGCCCGGAGTCGTTGGAACATTAGTAGGCAGTAGCCCATTGGATAATCGTTATTATACCATTACAGTCCTAGTCCGGTCTTAGGGCTGATGGATTACCTATAAATGCATAATTTGTACTCGAGATGCGCTCGGTGTCTGTTAACTACACAGATACGGGTACAAAACAATTAAGAAGAAAAAATAAAACGATGGTAGACGGCCTGCGGGATTTATTGATTTGTACTTCTCAATGATTTTTTAAAGGCACACAGACAGTATCACATACACGCGAGTACTTTTTTTAATTTCTTAATGTCTTGAAACTATATTTTTAACGATTCTCGAGAGTGATCAATTAGTGGAAGACTAATATTAGACAGAAACATAAATATTAAAACAAATTTATAGTGAAACCGGTAATTGTAGCTTTTCGACACAATTCATTGAAACTTTTATTGATATTACCGTGTTTACCGTCCGAGTTCCCCTATTTCTAATAAGTGTATTTTTATATTTTCTCGTTAAAAAAATATGGCCATCGATCATTTTCGTGTCTACTAATTGTTGGAATTCTGATTTATTCATGTATTTCTAAATATTGTAGGTTATTCGTGGAATCGCATAGGCCATGTTTGATTGTTGTAATATTTAGTAGTACCTAAGAAATATGAAATGATGCGCAGCGTATTTTACAGTAGATGCGATTAGGCACACGCGCTTTTTGTATATTTTGGCGTACCGGTATAAATAATAAACACGTCAATGTGTATTTCTGGGCGGAATGGAATAAAAAAAGGTGAAAAGAATGTAATAACGCCAATAAAAAGAAAGGCGCACAAAACGATCAGCATTTATTTTCGGTATGTATCGCGTGCAATGTGTCCATATCGAATCCGGACCTCCTACAACGGTGTTAAGTTAAACCCTTAACGTCCGTGACCAAGGGTACAGCTGTGTGCTCTATGCCGTCTGCACCAAGACGCACGCGACCCCCCCGTTTTGAAATCCGCGGACACCGTGACGACCATCGGCTATGGCTATTTCTTCTCTTATTTTTTTTTACCTGGTTTCATTTCCTTTTCGTCGTTCATTGTAACAAACGCACTCTTATACTGTACTGCATGTGGTAATAGTATTCGTTGGTTGTCGTCATAGACTTGTCATATATTTTATGAACGGCAGCCCACCGCCGTCGTCGTGTCGTTTCATACCCGCCCCGATAAATCATTCCATCGTCGATTTGCCAAAACTTATAAACCTGCACAAGTAGCATATTGTCCAGCAAAGGCATAATGCGTTACTGACGTTCTAATAAATCATCTAAGAGTAAAGTTCAGCCCAAACCCGTTTCTTTCATTATTATAATATATCATTTTATTTATTAAATATTGAAATTTTATTTGTTCACTTGAGAATTGAAAATAATTCATTACTGCAATGTAACATATTGTTATTATATACTAAATTTGAGCCAACATATTTTATTTTATATTTTGATCCATTTCATTTTTTTAGTTGAGTTTTTGTGTTATTTATTAACCACTAGGTAAATCTTTAAAACGTGTCCAATAGTAGTAGTAGTATAGACTCGCAAGTAGTCAAAATACTATGATTTTGATGGAGTAAAAACTAAAGTTAATTAAAAATATGTAAACATTTGAAATTGAACGACGGCAAGATGAGTTTCTACGAGAATATCGATAATACCAAAAATATTATTTAACTCCTAATAGTTCATGTCTCTAACAATAAAATCTCTATAGATTAGTCACTTCATAACAAAATCTAGCTTTGCGAAATCAATAAACTCGCATTATTATAACAGTATAAACATACAATAAAAAATACTATCGTCTTTGATAATTGACTTTCGTGTTTTTTCTTTCTTTTTTAATTTAATTCTCAGTATCGTAAAAAACAACCTCCGTCTCCTCTGTCAAAGATTCCATGCACAAATACTTGCTCATCATATTTGTGTAAAATCAATTATGCCATTTTATGGCGCACCCGAGTATTGAGTTTAATTTGCGTTGATGATTTCTGGCTGCCGAGTAGCGACGTGCTGCCACATTGATTAATTTGACAAGGGCCCAATTGCTTTGGCTAAATTAATCAACGTTATTATTAGCGACGTTACATAAAACAATTCTACGTGCATTTCGTCATAGTCTCAAGACGCCTTGTGATGTTTAATTAGATTTTAATACTTATGGTCATTGTTCATACGGATTTATGTGAAGAGATGTCACCGAACTATTACATTATATGTGTGCCGTTGTACATCCTACGAAGCGGGCGTTAATAAAACGAAACTTTAATGTTGCACATTATTCAATTGTTTTTTCCTTATTGGCTCTTTTTTTTTATTTTAATTTCCATTTATTTTGCTTTTACGATGTGCGTCACCACCACCTCCGATCGGCTGCCTTCACCGACTCGTCAAATAATAATAATAATAATGTAATCTCTTCGAGACGAATTTCCATAACGAACACGGTCGGCCTATATTATGTGCGTGCCGTGTGTAGACAATGTGCTCGCGGGTTCTCTTTGAACTCCGACAAAAACCCATTAGAAATGCTAAATTCTGGCGCGGCGGCAGGTAATTATTGAATATTTTATGTTTTATATATTCTTTTATTTTCCGTGAAAAGCGATAGCACTGCCGAAGTCGGTCGTCGTGTGCGAGTGCTGACAGGACGTACGACGGGGTGGTGTTTGCCGGTGGGAGGGTTGGAGAACGTTCGGAGGGGAAGTGCGCGTAGCGCCAAAGCCGAGTGAATAGGAAAGGAATAATAATACAAAAGGCACGTAATTGAATGTATCCGCTAACGGCGGCCGGAGGACGCACGTACGTCTACACAATATGTACGTGTATTGTGCGCTTATGTGTGTGTGTGTGTGTGTGTGTATATGGTGATGCGTGCACATTGAAAACAGGGCATGTGCGGTGCACGCAAGGGGACCACGTGGGTTGACACCCATTTCGAACCGGAGGACCAATAGCGGGCACGAGCGTTTCGCGTAAGGGGTCCCGAAGGTGCCCCTGCGAAAAAAATATGGACGTTTACGTTGCGATAATTATTATTTGTGTAACTCGCCGTGTCTGCGTGTGGTCTATGCCAATTGATACGAAGGCGACGGTTTTCTGTGCGACTATCGGAAAACAGTAGCCGGACTATGCGCGCGTGCGTATTCCGTTACAAGTTACGCCCGTGAACAAGTCATAGAGTTGGAAAATATTGCAATTTTTTTTCTCACAGTTAATTAATGATCATCAACCGGTTTTCAGTGTGATCGAACTGTTAAACGAGTGATATCTGTGATAAATTTCGTGGCCACATCATCGTACTCATCCAACATGTACTCGGCTCACTACAACGGATTTACGTTTCAGGGTAAGCAAACAATTATTTTTTTTCAAATCTGAGATTTTGAAATACACAGCTACTGACAAATTAAGCTTTATGAAATGTCGATCATCATTGTCTTGTTTATTGTTAAGCAAGCGATACGCACTNCAGGGTAAGCAAACAATTATTTTTTTTCAAATCTGAGATTTTGAAATACACAGCTACTGACAAATTAAGCTTTATGAAATGTTGACATCATTTTCTTGTTTATTGTTAAGCAAGCAGTAATAAAATCCGTTGTAATAAATTATAATTGTTACACATTCAAAACGATATTTTCACATAAGTATATCGAACTGATTACGTTGATTTGGCTCCTAGATTTTATGAAATTAGTAAAAAATTTAATCACATTCTCGAGTTTAAATCTGTAAAAAAAAAAAAAAATAGCGACAATATACGAGCGTCCTGTACACAGTTTTCTGTAAAAAAGTTTACAGAAATTATTTTTAGTAACCTATCGGTTATAAAGAAACTTTAAAAGAATAAACGTCCGAATAAGCTACTGTTGTAGTATTTATCATTTATTTTGCACTTGGATTAATTGTAAAGAGTATTTTAATATAGTTGTTTGTCATCAATAAAAAACTTTAATTATAAACATTTAGCCAACAATATAAACATATATNAACTTTAATTATAAATATTTTGGCCAAGATAAATTATTTTATGTCAATATCGTAATTTCAAAAATCCAATTTTTGTCAAATCTAAAAACCTTTTTTTCAAATTCGATTGCCAGGAATTTTTAGTCTATTTTTTGATTACGTTTTAAAATTAAACGTTCATCACGTCCATAATTTGGAATAAATATAAAATTCGTGTATCTCTTTGCCAGTAACCTTATCTAATTATCATCTAGCCAACTCCTTTAAAGTAAATATTCTACTACGATATTCTTGAACATTTTAGTATTTTCTTAAAGAAGTTATTCTAGTCAGTTTAATATTTTTGGAGTCGTATCAACTATCTAACGTGATGGTTATTAATTAATCTAATTTATAAAATATCGAGGGTGTTTTGTGATATATTAGATGTGCTAAATTATCTTAAATATGTTTGANATCGTAATTTCAAAAATCCAATTTTTGTCAAATCTAAAAACCTTTTTTTCAAATTCGATTGCCAGGAATTTTTAGTCTATTTATTGATTACGTTTTAAAATTAAACGTTCATCACGTCAATAATTTGGAATAAATATAAAATTCGTGTATCTCTTTGCCGGTAACCTTATCTAATTATCATCTAGCCAACTCATTTAAAGTAAATATTCTACTACGATATTCTTGAAAATTTTAGTATTTTCTTAAAGAAGTTATTCTTGTCAGTTTAATATTTTTGGAGTCGTATCAACTATCTAACGTGATGGTTATTAATTAATCTAATTTATAAAATATCGGGGGTATTTTGTGATATATTAGATGTGCTAAATATGAATGTGTTATCCTAAATAAGTTTAANAAATATGTTTGATAATAAAGATTAAGTGCTGCTAGTTTACGATTTGATGATTAATCGATGGCATTTATGAGTTGATGAGTAGGTTTGGATCTATCGTTTAACAATAGTCATGAAAAATAATAAAAACATAGTGGTAAAACAATGAGATGCTTGTTCCTATAAATTATGTTCTATCGACCGGCAAGACGGTTCGACACAAGTCAATTTCAAATTAATGTTTGATAATGTGTATATCACGGAAAAGTGCAGTGATTTACCGCTGCCTTCTGCACTTGGAATATAGTAATATTTTAACAGTGTAAAAATTATATGAAATTTTACAGATTTATGTAACTACATTCATAAAATAAAAGTATAAAACGTATCACAAGTCTTTCGGGATAACATAAAATAATTATTACATGAACTGTCATATAGGTCAAGGACGTGTGAACCAGTTGGGTGGTACGTTCATCAACGGTCGTCCGCTTCCTAATGTGGTTCGGTTGAAAATCGTCGAAATGGCAGCTGCGGGTGTGCGACCGAGCAATATATCTCGACAACTTAAAGTATCGCATGGATGTGTGTCTAAGATACTTAATAGGTACCAGGAAACCGGAAGTATTCGACCAGGCATCGTAAACAGCGACCATGCGCAAGTGAGTAAAAAATAACTAATAATGAAAGATCTAATGTAAGGTGGCATTAGTAGTTTCATTGCTTATTGCGCAAACATATACGGAATCTGACTAGAATAAAGGAATGTATAAGATGATACAAATAACCATNGTAAACAGCGACCATGCGCAAGTGAGTAAAAAATAACTAATAATGAAAGATCTAATGTAAGGTGGCATTAGTAGTTTCATTGATTATAATTTTATACTCTGTAATTGTTAAAAAAGAAATAACATATTCATTTCAAAAACGTCAACAATATCCTATTGTTTTATTCGTTAAAGGTACGCCTCTATAAGGAATTTTTCGACAAAAATTTAAAATAGCGCTGGTTTAACAAAATAAAAATCACGCAAACATATACGGAATGTGACTAGAATAAAGGAATCTATAAGATGATACAAATAAACCTAAAAGATTGCTAAAGAAAACCAGGTGACTTAAACGATCGCTGTTTTTGACTCGAGAGAAAAGATAGTAATAATAATAAGAGAATATCCGTTGGTAATGTAGGTGGCTACAAACTCCAATGTAAAATAGTAAAACGTTCAGTGTAATATTATAGCACGTGTCCATTAGCATAATTATATAGCACTGCGCGTACAAATTAATCTACTGGCGAAATAAACAAAAGACCAATTAATCTGGCCGACAAAGTGGTACGATGATGAAGATGTCGTCGGTTTTCCAATCGCTTTAAGGGATATCTGGGCACAACGTGTGGAACATGCAGTATATACACCACGGCTCATGAATATTTAATAACTACACCTTTTTTTTATAATAAACACGAAATTCCTGATCAATCATTTTAGCTGTTGGCATTTCTGTTATTATTCTTTAATAGACCCCCCACAATAACATGAACGGCAACTAGCCGCCTGCGTACACTATTAATTAATGGACCCGGTGCTGCACGACACATTCTTCTATATCTGATTTTACTTCACACATATGTTGGTTCTGTAATACTTACCTGCACTCGTCCTCGTATTTCGTACCAGACAGCCCGGCTCCACCGTAAAAAAGTATACGTGAACGTTATTGCCCATTGTTTTTTTAAATATACTGCGTACCGTAAAAAAAATCCCAACATCATTTCGGCAACACGTCGTAGTCAAACCACTTCTTTAATCCCAAAATAACCGTTATCGTAATGGACAAGGCTATAATGGAATATAATATTATGTCGAATTAATAATATTACCCTAACTTTTTTGGAGTCTTTGCATTCCAACATGTCAGACATGAATAATGGGGGTGAGAGAGATTTTTGCAATATTCTTGTTCGAAAATAAATCTTCAGGAGAATCCGTATATTAAATATTTTAATGAAGTAGTATCAGAAAAATAACTCTATAAACACATTTAAACGTTATTATTTTCCCCACAATAATTAAGAGTGAGAATAATGGCTAACATTTTTTATATTTTTAGAAAACATGCACAAAACGATCTCCCTACTGTCCCGATGAAGTCAGAGATACGACAATAAGGTCAGATCGTCATAGCAACTACTCTATCGATGGAATACTTTCAGGTATAACTTTTAAAAACTGTTTAAAAATATGTAATACCTATTTACATTTATTATTAAACTGGAAAACAATTACAATCTCCAAACACTGGAAACCGAAATCAATACTAAAAAATAATCATAAATATAATTACCCCGTCAATAAATAATAGGATGTCTGTCTAAAAATTATCCATTGAATTTATGCTTTTGAATTAATTTTATATTTATAATAGCAAACACAATCTTCATTTTAAATTTAAATAATAATAATAATAAATTTTATTTTACATTGTTTTCGTCTAACAATAATAAAATGGACTTACCATACTAATAATGTACTTATCGAAATTCGTTATAATTTATATATTGGTATAATTGAATTATGTAGTTTATTGATTTCTATCCAAATATACAAGCTATTCGTATGAGTTTTGATTTGACACATAATATTAATGCTAAAGATTATGTACAACTTTTATAAAAGATCATAACTTTGAATTAATTTATGGAGAAATACATTTTTGTTTAAATTTTAGCCTTTTTGCACTAATTGTGCAAAGTTACTTTGATACGGTTAAGATTATACATTTTTTAATTATTTTTAAACATAATGAAATTGGAAGCATGAATTGACAAACTCCGTCGAAATTTGGAATGTTAAAGGCGTTCATAAAAATTAATTTATCGTGCAAGAGTTTATTTCACTAAAGATTTAACACACCTTTTACTAGTGAAACCAACATTTTGTATTATAAAATCTGGTAGCCAGTGTCACAGGTATAATACTTTTCGTTTATCTACTGGTTAATGGTTTTTTTTAGGACGTTGCTACTGATTATCGTTGAGCCGTTTAACTTGTTTTGGGGCCAAAAACGATGCAAATAACAATTTATGGTCAATGGGGTGTACCATAATTGAACGCTTCGGAGTATCACTGAATGTACACTTGTTAAAATTGAAATAATATCACATACCCAGATTCATTAATCACGTCTTAGAGTTTTCATTGTAACCGTCGCGTATTCTACACGTTGTGCATCTTCATTGTCATCGGGTATCTCAGCAGCGGCTACCGCTGCTGAAAAAATCATGATGGATTTCGCAACATTAGTTTGGCTTCCGGAAACATCATTAAACCCCAGTGGTAATCGCAGTGGCACATTTTTCAGCTCTTTGGGGTATGACAAGTAAAATGGTGTTTTCCTAATATCCTGCTGTTTGAATATTATGCTTCCAGTACTTGTTATTGTAATGATGCTGAAAAATATACGACTTAAAAGAAAATATATCAATTTAACGTAACCATTTTACGCGATTTTCGAGCATCTTCTTAATATATAGTTTCTTTTGACAATGCATCGTGTACACCATTAAATATTTTTGGTATTTCACACTAAGTTATCGCAGTTTATTGGATTAAGTATTATTTCATATGGTTCATATTGATTTATCGTATCCGAGGACACGCAGAAAATGTTTAGATTTCATTGGAGTATCGTGAATTAAAATTTTTTTAACAACTGTAGATAGTGTAGTTTCGTGCAGTTTATGATTCATACATTTTCTATTAATCGAAAGTCTCAAAAACATTGAGTATATCGATATTAGGTATAATGCGGCTAAACACAAATGTTAAAACAATTTATTTTCATAGTAAAATTATTATTACTAACTTTGAAGTATACTTCACAGTCAGTTAAAAAAAACTAAATCATAAAAAATATTTGCTAAAAAACAAATAAAAAATTTTATTTTAATTACGCACAAATTTTCTAAGTCAAATAGTAAATAATTAAAAATTTAAGAAAACTTTTTTATACATTTGAGCACTATTTGTGTCATATTGAGCTAATCTCTACTATTACTGCTTTTATTATTATTATTTAATCTAAACTATGATTTTTTTATATCGAGATAACATTTTTATTGGACAATTAAAAATTAAAAACTTTCTATTTTGTGACTGAAAAAGTGTCTTTACGTATTTATCTATGAATTTTCACATTAGGTATTTTAAAAACGTATGAGAATGTCAAATATCTTTTGGTAAGAACAAATAACAATACCCAGCATAGTAAACACATAGCTTATATCATATGATATGGCCTATTATTAATATTTTTTCTTTTAATAGAGAATATTCTAAATAAAATTCCGATAGGTTGATAACTGTTATTGTATTGTTAATTTTTGAGTTGTTATCATTTTTATTTATGGGTGAGTTGAGTGCACAATGTAGAAGAATTCTGGTAAAAAAAAGCATCGCTAAACACTACCCCCTTCTCACTTATTTAAATCATCATATGCTAATATCATAAAATGTGTAAAATAATACAATGCTAGCTATCGATCTGCCAAAAATTGACTTTTAAAATTCTCCTATTAATATTAAAAACTAAACACAATGGGGTCGCGGCATAGTGGAAACGTGGTTTAGTTGGGACAAGTATAAATGACATCACTATCATAAATGCTTTGATGCGTATCACTAAAATATCACAATTATTTTTACACTTGTAAATCTACAATTATTAGGTTTTTAAATTAGATTTTAATATTGCCGGCTTGTTACTTTTCATTTTATTATATAATAACATATTAAAGCGCCTGTTGCCTTAAATTTTATATAAAAACATGTTTAATTTTTTTGAAAATACGCACTAAATACAACTAATAAGTATATATCAGTAAGTACATATAAGTGCGATAATCCGAAATTAACGTTTTAATTAAAACTTTGATATATTACATTCATTAAGTCATTTACAAAATAATAATTGGAAATTTCGACTTTCGTGATCAAAACTAAAAAAATGAANAAGCGCCTGTTGCCTTAAATTTTATATAAAAACATGTTTAATTTTTTTGAAAATACGCACTAAATACAACTAATAAGTATATCAGTAAGTACATATAAGTGCGATAATCCGAATTTAACGTTTTAATTAAAACTTTGATATATTACATTCATTAAGTCATTTACAAAATAATAATTGGAAATGTCGACTTTCGTGATCAAAACTAAAAAAATGGAGTAATTTTTATAGAAATATTTGCTTTCAAGGCCAATTACTCAAAGTAGACAAATTATCTAAACGATTTCATTATTTTTATTAATAAGTACGTTCAAAATTCTTTAATTTGACGTAGGTTTTGAATTGTCAATTGTATCGAAACACGTTTATAAACTGAAAATAATATATATTTTTTTACTTTGACCGACAATTTTTCAAAATAGAACAATTGGTGATCAGTTTTACATTCTTCTATTTCCCGAAATTGACATGCTACAGAAGTGGCCTCTTTCATATGTTAGGGAATCAAAGATGGTTCTTCACAAGGACAATGATGAAAATAACGGATATTATGGCCGTTTTCCATCAGATAACATATACCACCAAAGAGAATATTGCAAGAAAAATCTCGTTGGCACCTTAAGGATCGAACCCGAGACTCTGTGCGCCGAAACATACCATTTCATAATAGAACACTTGTCAAAAAAAAATTTATTTCTTTAATGTTTTGTATTAAATTTAAAGCTATAACTTGATATAAATCAAAACTTATCAGATATACTAAAAGATTTTCAAAAATTGAGTCGAAAATTAAAAATTTATATTCGTGAAGGTCTTTTTAAACTTACTCTGTATTTAAGTTTTTCATTGGATTTTCTTAAAAAGTTTACTAAAATAAAACTTATTATCTCTTATATATATTATAATAAATTTCTATTAAGATCAGAAAAGTTATAATAGTTTAAAAAAGAGGAAAAAATGTTGAAAATAACATTTTTTACAGTAGCGCAAATTAAAATATTTGTTTAAATCTCTGAAACTAAGAGTATTTTTAAATTTTCGACAACGATAGTTTCAACTAGGTTGAAATAAAGTGTTTTTGACACGTAAACGCAAATTCAGTGAGAGCTAAGAACTTTTTCGGACTATCATAAAAAACGCCAACCATCATAAAACCTATAGTTTTTCAGCATTGTATCGAAGATAAAAGACTCGCAGTTCAGGTTATAATACTAGACTATTGGAAATTCTTGTAATTTTATTAAATTAAAAAAAAATAATTCTTGTGTATTGCAGTAGGTCGAGAATAATGATATTTTAACGCGTTTTTCCATTAAAACTATTATGGTTTATAAATTCTTTTACTTTTATTATTGTTATGTTTTTTACTTATGATCGCCGAACAGTGGCCATAAACTTCCTCATCTTAAAGTGTAACTATAAACAGAATCGTTTTGCCGACGACAAATCGTCGTTAATTTAACGTTTATTCGTTTCTGCTGGATCTGTTCCTTTTGGTATTCACCTGTGCGCCGTTCATTGTTGACTTGGTCATTGGCGCTGCGATTCATGTTAGGCACTATGATGCAATGTTTTGTAAAACATTTCGGCAAAACTGTTGCAAGTGATACGAGGCCATTCACGAACGAGTATAAAAATGAAAGAACCGGCTCGAATAATTTTGGATGTCGTCGGCGAGTCTCCGCGGTAGTTCGCGGCCAAAGGGCGTCGGCGTCTGTGTGGTCGGCACAGTATCAAACAAGTACAAGTAGAACATGAAAGAATGAGAATAAAAAAGAAGAAACGTTGTTTAGCAAAAGGTGTCGATGTAATAAAAACTGCTGCAACAAATTGCTCGGCCAAGGGAGTCAATTTCGTCTTGTAGTTTTGGTCGGGCACACACACAAACGCATTATGTGAGCGTGCATGACAATGGGAGTCACCCGTTGGAAAAAGAAGCCGACTTCGGGCCACCGGGCTAGTCGATATACACAACATACGCGTAGAAAGGACCCACCTAGGCAGTGACAACGACGACAACACACAAAACATTCGCACACTACCACCACTGCGGGCACAAGAGGGAGACACCACACACCGATGTTATTATTATCACTATTATCGCTATTACAATAAATACACGCATATATATATATATGGATGCCTGATAATGCGCACAAAACGCTGCGGCGGTGTTATGTCTGCGAGCCCCTTTTGGTAGCACCT